TCCGGGCCCTCTTCACCCTGCGCAACCTGGGTGGCCCAGCGGCCGTGGACTGGATCAGCCGGGCCTTCGGGGATGGCTCTGCGCTGCTGAAGCATGAGCTGGCCTACTGCCTGGGCCAGATGCAGGACGAAGCCGCCATCCCTGTGCTCATCCGGGTGCTGGAGGACACCAGCCAGGAGCCCATGGTCCGGCACGAGGCGGGTATGATGGCAGCTCCTGCCGCTGTGGGGGCAGGGGGGGGGGCCCAAGTGGTACTTGCAGGTGCTTCCCCCTGCCCGTACCGAACAGCTCGTGCTGGCCTGATCCAGCTGGGGTGTCCTGGCTTGGAAAACCTCGAGGCACGTAACTGCCTCGCCCCATCCCCTGGCTGGACTGGTTGGCCAAGCCTTCCTGCTGTCCAGGCTGGCTCCTGCTGTGTTTATTTGCCAGGCTGTCTCATTTAGGAGGGGTCAGAGCCAGGCCTGTGTTCCCACTTCAGAGCGAGGCGAGGCTTTGCCAGAGGACACGGCAGAGTCCCCGTCATGTAGACACCGTGGTAACATCCTGCTGTCGTTCCTTCAGGTGAAGCCCTGGGTGCTATCGGGAATCCCAATGTGCTGGATGTCCTGAAGCGCTATTCGGAGGATCCTGTGGTTGAGGTGAGGCTCTTGGGGGGGTCATTTCCCCTGGGGTGCAGCGCTGCTGGTCCAGGGGGGTGAGGCAGGTCTCCCTTGGGCAGCCTCTGGCCATGGACAGGAACACCACGAGCAGCATCCTGCTGTGTGCTGGTGCCCAGTCAGGAAACCCTGGGCGCCCTCCCAGCACTGTACGGAGCCGTCCTGCAGCCAGGGCTCGGTGCCCGCCCCTTAGCCTTGTCAGCTGGCCGTGAGGAGGCTGGAGTGGCTGCAGGACAACAAGCAGGAGCCAGGCCCCAGCCCCTACCTCTCCGTGGATCCTGCTCCCCCCGCCGAGGAGACAGACGTGGCCAAACTCCGCGAAACCCTCCTGGACGAGTCGCGCCCCCTGTTCGACCGCTACCGGGCCATGTTTGCCCTGCGAAACCTGGGGGGCCGGGCTGCTGTGCTGGCGCTGGCCGACGGTAAGGGCCAGCGGGAGGCTGCCCGCGGGCTGTACGGGTTAATCCGGGATTGACCCTTCCCCCATCCAGGGCTGCCAGAGCCGCAGGGCTCCTCTTGGCTGCTTTGGGTGTTTGTTTCTAGAGCTGCTGGCCCCCTGCTGGCAAAGCGCTCTGTGCTCTCTGGTGTTTCATAGCCCCTCCGCCCTCCTCCAGGCCCCCTTTCTCCGTGGGTCCGGGTGGGAGAGGGCAGAGGCTGTAATGTTGGCTTGGGACCAACCGGTGCGACGTGGTGGAACTTGGCTCCAGGGTGTCGGGGTCCTGCTCTCCCATCCTGGAAAGTCAGAGGCTGCTGATCTCACCCTGGGGTTTGGGAATAGCTCTGGAGAGGGGAATGAATGTCTCCCGAGGGGGGAAGGGGCAGACCCCAGCTCAGGAATCGTTTGGACCCACCCCCCCCAGCCCAAGGGAGGTGGATGAGGCTCTCCAGCCCCCCAGGAGGAGCTGAGGGCAGGTCTG